TCCTAAAGACTCCATAGTCATATTCGTAGCTTTTACTTTCAAGTTTTTCCTTTAGGTAGTTTAATTTTTTATATTTTGTGAGCACGTTTTTGGTTTTAGTGTAAGGGATGTTAATCAAATTTTGACTTCGCTTCCGCATTTGATATTTTTAATATAAATTCCATTTTAAATTACCGGGGCTGCTACATATCAAGACTTGATAATTTGGCACTCATAGCGGACGGGGTATAGGGAAGACCCGTTTCACCATCATACCGGATTGGGTATTGAGGTTTAGTGGTTTGACGTTCATAACGGACGAGATATGAGACGACCATTTAATTGAGAATATTGAAAAAAAAGGTTCACACGTAGCGGAGACATTCCTATGAATCCCCATGGATACCAGTGGGCTGATAAAAGGAAATGTTGTTATTTGATTTAATGAATATAGATTTATAATGTGTGTCTGTTACCAATTGCATATGAAATCATAATAAGTGCCATGTTATTGTTTTGTATAGGTTGTTTTCTATAAATCCCACTACGATAAGTGGACGGTAAATGGTTTTATTATTGATAAATGAATTTGCTTATTTAGTACTTTATTAGTTCTTTTTTTTTTATTTTTTTACCAACCTTCATTTCTGTGTCGGTGATGTAGTGTGATATTCTTATTGAACTAGTGTAGCTCATCCCTTATTTAACTATTTCAGATCAAGATGAGCAGGATTCAAAGTCCAATTTGCAAGAGGGTTGCGAGTAGAATGTTAGTTTTCTTTATTTTTCATTCTCTTATTTCTTTGTATTTCTTTTAAAATGGTAAATTGCTGAACACTAATTGGTACTTTAAGTTATTGTGTAAGGAATGTAAACCTTGAACATTTATTTCGCTTCCGCACTTTAATTATCATTTATTTCCTTGAATATTTTTGGGGTCGTTATAAAATAATTTAGTTGTGTTTTCTTAATGCATGTCTTGTTTGTCTTGCGTGATTTACGGTTAATTTGTGAAACTGGAAATTAAAATGTAAATGAAAAATTGCTTGGTTAAGTGAATAAGTGAAAGGTTGTCTCATTGGATATCTTGGGAGATGGTGGACGGATCATGTACATAGGGAACCGTACCGTGAACGTTATCTCATACGAGATAAGGTATCGATAGATGATATTTTTTTGCGCTCATACCGAACGGGGTATGGGGACGACTCGATTCACTTTCATATCGGATGGGGTATCGAATGATGATATTCTTGGCGCTCATACTGGACAGGGTATGGGGACGACCAGTTAGTTGACCAAGTTTAGATATTAGTTCACGCGCAGTGGGACATCCCTATGAACCCCCAGTGATACTAGTAAGCAAATAAAAAGGAAAAAGTTGTTGTTCTTGGCCACTTGAAAATGAGATTATGATGTTGTTTGAGTTATTGCCTCTATAGGTCGATTTTGAAAATCTTGCAACAGTAAGTATGCAATAAATGGTTTTATTTATGATAAATAAATTTACTTAATTTAAGAGCTCTATTTGTCATTTTTATGATTTTTACCAACCTTCAGTTTCTGTATCGGTGAGTAGTGTGATATTCTTACTGGGGTAGTGTAGCTCACCATTTCATTAATTATTTCAGATCAAGAGGATCAAGATCCAGATCTCGATCAACAAGACGGTTGTGAATAGTTCACTACTCGGACTCCCTTCAAAAGTTAGTGAATGTCGTCATAGGATGCTCAGTTGTTTACTTTTTATCTGTTTTTTTAATATTCGTTCGTCCTTTTAGAATGAATATTCTCGCAACCCTATTTGTTATTTTAAACTAGTGTGTAAGAAATGTAAACCATAACTCTATTATTTTGTTTCCGCATTCAGTTTATGATTTTATTTCTTTTTAAGTTTCAAACCCTTTACATTAATATTATTTATTGATATTTTTTAGTAAATTAAATTTAAAATAAATTGAAAAAAATAAATTTCAATAAAATTAAAATTCAATAAACTTAACATAATAAAATTATTATCGTTAATTAAAAATAAAACATATAAATTAAAATTTAATATAATTTTCTTAAAAATAAAAGTATACATATAGAAAAACACTAAAATTAATAATATATATAAAGTCAATATATTAATAAAAGTTAAAGCCTTTTAATATAAAGTAAATTAGTAATTTGAATAAATTAAGCAAAAAAATTATTTTTTCTTTTCAAATTTTTGGAGGGTCAATAGATTCACCCATAATAATATTTTAAAGCAATTAATATTTTTAATATTTTAATTTCATAAAAGTATAAATATATAAGTGCCTTCCACGTCTTAGCAGTAATTAAATTATAATTAATTAAACAAAATATATTTGTTTGATTAAATAACATATTTTTTGTACTGATGTGTGTATGATTGTATAATTAAATATTTAAATTAAATGTAGAAATCATATTATTTATTAGTTAAAATTTTATATAAATAAGTTTTTTGGCTGCAACTACACGTGCCTGCCCAAACTCAAATTGTGAACTTCAACAAATACACTGAATTTATAGTTCATTTATAGATTTTTATATGACATGCATAATTTTAATTAAATTATACAATTGTTAAAATATTATAATTATTTTATTTATATTTTATACATAAAATATCAGTTGAATATTGTCTTTTTTTCCATTTAGCTAATTGTATAAATTGTATGTATATAATTTATTAGTTCGATTGAATTGAACGGTATCGAATACTAAATAAAAATAAAAATTTAAATTAAAGATTAAATTATTTTAATTTTATTGAGTTAATTTAATCTAATTTTAATATATTATTATTTGGTTTTAAAAAAATTTAATAGTTAAAAAAATTAATATTTTTTAAAAAATATTATAAGTTATTTGATTAGATATAAAAATATGTTTTTTTTAAAAAAATTTATTTTCATTTTCATTGTGACCCAAAAAATATACAAATTTCAAATATAATTTTCAACTCTTATTTTTTTGGTAATAAGAAAATTTAACAAATAATTATAATGAGGGCATTTTTGGTTTAAAATAAAAGGAAGAAAAATTCAACTTTTTTTTTTTTTGAAAATTCAAGATTTGGTTTTAGCAATTCGATCCTGGATCGGGAAAAATCAACCAACCAAACAAACCAAGTGAACAAGAAAAAGGAGGAGCCAAACGAACCCCTTTCTATCCCGCTCTGCTACTCAATTAATGGCAACAGTAAGCTTACTACATCACTAGTTCCGTAGCTAACTGCTCCGGCCTTCAAGAGATCTTTATTTTCCCAATTATAGTAAAGCGAACACCGTCCGTGCAGAACCGCCACCGGTCACTCGTTTCTCTAGGGTTTCCTTTCAATGGTGGTAATTATAATTGGGGAGTTTAGATAAAGCAGTGAAGTTTATGTCTCTAGATTGGTCCTCTTGCTTAGCTGTTTCTGCTGATTAGGCAGATGGCAGAGTTCCAAGGAGAATCGGGCACTCAGGTCGGTGGATTTTGGGTTTCTTTGATTCGGATTTCGTGTGTGTTTTCGTGTTGAAATTCGGCGTTTCATTTCGCTTGAATTTCATTTGAATTATAACAGTTCAATGCTTCTTACGCTAATTCTGGGAACAGTCATTTCCGTAAGCATTTAGCTGAAGTGCCTGTACGTGTTTCTCTTATGCGGGGAAAGAGGACACCTGTGCTTCTGATGTTTGCATTGGGCCCTGAACTCGATTCAGTTCTTTCATATATATATAATTTTTAATTTTCACCGGGATTTATTACAATTTGTTGTTTGTTTGGTTATTTTTTATCTACTATCCATATAACTGCATACACGTGTGTATAAACTGGGATGATATGTACTTGGGTACCGGAGGATGGGGATGAGGTGGGTTTTGTTACTTTTTGCTGATTGAGAGCCGTGGACTCTTGTTTTTTGCTGCAGTAATTTGCGGCGGCTTCGGCGGAAGAGTGAGGTTTTTCTTTGGTGAGGTCAGTATGTGTAATCCTTTTAGCTGATTATAGGAAGAACGTCATATTTGAATTATGATATCTGCATGGTGATTCGTTCTCAATTTCTCTGCTATGCTTGGCTTATTCTATATATAGAGATTAAAGCCCTGACTTGGCGCTGTTGTGGTGCTTCCTTCTTAGTGCAGCTTCACTAGAGAGAAGTCTGGTTTTTTGGTGAGACCCCAGTTAATGCTTTGCGAGAGTTGATAGGATTTAAGTGCATATTGAAAGGTGGATGAATTTCATGGTTAAATTCAAGGTTTTTCCCAAGTTTGAGGAGGGAGATTGTAAGGGGGAGAGGGTTGATTCGATTTGGTATTTGTTGATAAAACTCTAGCGACTGTTTTCTGGGGTGCCAAAGTTAGTTGTTTGATTTGAACAACAATGGATTGCCCCTTTTCGTCTAAATAAAAGGGGATTAGTTATTGGACTTCTCCAAGAGCGCAGATGGAGGGTTGGGTATTGACGGATGGTAGCATTAAAAATTCCATTTCGGAAGATCCACTTATCAACATATCAGAACTCATGAATTTTGACACTTATGCTGGATGGTGCAACAGCCCATCAGCGCCAGACCAGATGTCCACCTCCCATGGGTTATCAACCATGCCATCTGTGCCTTACTCATCTTTTGATTCCTTAAATTTCAGTGCTCAAAATTCTGCTGCTCTTCCTGATAGGGCTGGTACATTTAATGGAATGGAGTTTTCTTACAGTTGTGAAGATAGATTGGTGGTTCTTCCTGGAGACTCTCAGGTTGGTTGCTCATTAAATTCTACCGATGCAGATGATTCAGGTGCTAAGCAAGGTAATGGTAGTTACGGACAAAGCCTCGCTTCAGATAAAGCAATGTGTATGATTTCTAGGTCAGTTGGTCGAACCCTTGACGAGAGGATGCTTAGGGCATTGTCCTTGTTCAAGGATTCATCTGGGGGAGGCATTTTGGCACAAGTCTGGGTTCCTGTTAAGCTTGGAGATCAGTTCATGCTAAGCACTTCTGATCAACCCTACTTGCTTGATCAAATGCTTACTGGTTATCGTGAAGTGTCTAGGAAATTTACCTTCTCTGCAGAGATGAAGGAAGGTTCCTTCCTGGGACTTCCTGGTCGTGTATTTAGTTCTAGAGTTCCTGAGTGGACTTCCAATGTCAGTTATTACAATAAGGCTGAGTATTTGCGTGGAAAATATGCTGCTGATCATGAAGTCCGTGGTTCTCTCGCCTTACCAGTCTTTGATGTTCCTGACATGTACTGTTGTGCTGTTCTGGAACTTGTAACTGTGAAAGAAAAACCGAATTTTGATTCAGAGATGGAAAGTGTCTGCAATGCTCTTGAGGTTAGTTACAATCCCCAATTGTTTTCCTCCGTTTTGGGGGAGCAATTCTTTTTCTTCTTTGTCCTATTCTTCTGTTAACGATGCAAGCTTCTTTTTTCTCTCTTCTCGTCTGGACACACCTCTGTGTCAAAATAGATATTTGTCACTGATCTATCTAGACGTCTTTTTACTCCATTTAAAACTTTATTTTTCTTTAGACAGAGGAGGGAGAAAAAAAACATAAAAGCCATGTGGGAAGAACATGGGGACACTCGATAGTTCTTCTGAATATCTAAGGGTTGTTTAAATCTCACCTTTTTGTCCTATTTGCCAATCTTGTAAAATTCCAAATGTACACATTGATAGCAAAGTATTAGTTTTGTTGTCTTATTGCAATTTGAGATGGTTTAAATTGTGCTTTGCTATCACCCTAGGGCGATTCTTAATTGATTTTAAAGCATATTCTGACGCATTTCTGTTTGAAACTTTTTAAAAACCACCTTAAAAGCTGTTAGACTGACAGTACTTGTTACGGGATTGTCAAAACCTTTGTTCGTGGGTTCGTGATTGAATCGGTTAAGCAGAATAGGGATAGGGAAGAAGAGAGAGGGAGAGAGGTAGTCGGGAGCGAAATTTGAATTGGAATTTGAATTTCAAATGGATCATGTTTTCCTTCCCACCGTTGAATCATTTTTAAAGGCATAGATGGCAGGCCTTGAGGCGCGTCCTTTATGGTTACAATTGAATGAAAACAAAAATCCATGCTGCGAGTAGAAAATTACTCTCTTTCCTCACACCTATTTACCCTTCTTCCTTCGGTACACCTTCAGCGACTTCCTTATAGAGATCTAAAGAAGGCTTGCTGGCTTGGAACATCTGAAATCTACTGTATTTTGGTCTTAAACCTTCAGTGGCAGCTCCAGAGATGTGGTAAATCTAAGAATATTACCAGAACAGAAGTACCAGTCTCAAACTCTTTACCATCTCTTACCGGTTAAGACCATATTTAAAATATTAGTTGATATGAGCGTAAGATTCATATTTTTTTCAACTCTTTGCAGGCTGTGAATTTAAGGACCACTCTTTCTCCTCGGCTTCTTCCCCAGGTATCTATCAGGATAATATACTGCTCGTTACTGCTGCTTCATATGCATACTATTGTCAAAAGGAAAGAATATCAGCTTTTCCTATGTGATATTTACTGTTGCTAAGCACTTTTTTGTTCTTCAGTGCCTCTCAAGGAACCAGAGAGCTGCCTTAGCTGAAATAGCTAATGTTTTGCGAGCAGTATGTCATGCACATAGATTGCCATTGGCTTTGACATGGATTCCCTGCTGTTACTCTGAGAGAGATGTGGATGATATCATAAAAGTGCGTGTGAGAGGTGGTAATACAAATTCAAATGGAAGATGCATTCTATGCATTGAAGAAACAGCTTGTTACGTGAATCACAAGGACATGGAAGGATTTGTGCATGCATGTTCTGAATGTTGTCTTGTGGAGGGGCAAGGTATTGCTGGAAAGGCTCTTACTTCAAATCATCCATTCTTCTCTGCCGATGTAAAAGCATATGATATAAGTGAATATTCGCTTGTCCATCATGCCCGGAAGTTTGCACTGAATGCTGCAGTTGCAATTAGGCTGAGGAGCACCTACACTGGTGATGATGATTACATTCTAGAGTTTTTTCTGCCTATCAATATGAAAGGGAGTTCTGAACAGCAGCTTTTGTTGAACAACCTCTCGGGAACTTTGCAGAGAATCTGCAGCAGTTTGAGAAGGGTTTCAGATGCAGAATTAATCAGCACAGAAGGTGCTGAAGCTGGGTTTCAGAAGGGAATGGATCCAAACTTCCTGCCAGTGGCTATGTCTAGAAGGAGCTCTCAATCGGCTTTGTCAACTAGTGATTTGAGCTCAGCTGATAGAATGCCTTCAAGCATGACCGATACAGAAGCCGATGCAATGGGAGCTGATGGTCCTTGTGACCAGGTACTGTCTTTAACAGCTTCCTTCTCTTTTGATGAATGATTCTACTTGCCCCAAAAAAGAGGGCCTGTTTCAGTACTTTTGCACATAACTTATCAGTATCCTGGCATCAAAAATCATTTCAAGACTCATAATTCTTGCTTTTGAAGGTCTTGTTTGTTTGCTGATAAGTTAGAAACAATGTTGGTTTACTCTTAAAATGTGAAAGTGTTGTTAACGTCCATTAAATCAAATGCATTTAAGTTAAAGAATTTACTATTAATCCCAATTAGAATATAAGATGGGTAATTGTTGATACCGTCACTATGAATAATGCAGAACCAGTAGCAGTTAAACCAACTTGTTCGGATAGTTTGGAAATATAAGAAATGTAGGTGGGACGTAGGAAAATAGAGATAAGCCAGAGGAAATTAGAGATTGGGATGAAGAAGTATGGGGAAAAATAGATTAACGAGATGGGTTAGACTGAACAATAATGAGAAGAACAAAAGAAGAGAAAAATATGGAGACTAAAGCCATAAGAAATAATTTCTTTTTTTGAATGTAAAAAAACGATATATTCAAGGGCACAAGGGGATGCAACGCATGTACAAAAGAAACAAATCGATCAAAACATCTATTAGGTTCCCAAAGACATCACTAGAACATAGGAGATGACTCCTAATAAAATAATCCAGGGTTTGATGCCAAGTGTCTTAAACCTGTTAAATTAGATTCTATATGTTCAAAAGCTCTTATACCCATTTCTTTTCATATGACCCAAAAAGTGGCCAAAGATGTAAGTTTCATCCTCTTAACCCCTTGTATGCCTCTCCAAGCGTGCTATTCACTTTGACTGAACCTGCTATTACCCACGACAACCCAGAAGTCCATAAACCAAACTCTAGAACCTATGAGCAAGTATGCAGCGCAAAAGGATATGGTTACAAAATTCTTCTCCACTTCTACATAGATAACATCCGTTCACAAGAATGTTGCATCTCTCAATCAACTTAGCCTAGAGATAAAATGCATTCATTTGCTGCTTTCCAAGTGAAGATAGGTACTCTCAGAGTAGCCTTTGCCTTCCAAATCTGTCTAGCGGGACACTCTTCTCTCTCATCTCTTATGGAAGGTCAAG